TTGAACTACGTCTTGTCTACTGTTTTGTCTGTGTGTATGTGTATGTGTGTTCCTATCATACTGTGTAAATCAGGGCCACTTTCATGTATATAGACACCATCTGTAGGTATCCTCTATGTAGTCATAAGACTATCAATGTCCGCAAATGCTACAACTGAGTGACAAAAACTTATATATATATATATATATATATATATATATATATATATATATATATATATAGACATATACATGTGTGTATGTGTGTGTGTGTTTATGTGTGTGTGTAAATACACATATATACATGTGTGTATACATAAATATATGTGTATATATAATTATATTTATGTGTGTGTGTGTGTGTGCATATATATATATATATATATATATATATATATATATATATATATATATATATATATATATATATATATATATACAAATATATAGTATACATATATATACACATATATAGTATACATATATATACACACATACATACACATATATAAATATATATATATACACACATATATATAACCATTTATATTTATATATGTGAATATGTATACATATATATTTATATATAAATATATATACACATACATTTATATATATTTAAATATATATATATATATATATATATATATATATTTATATATATAAGTATATATATACATGTGTGTGATTAAAGATTACAGGTACATCTTAGTATGTGACTGCTTGAATCTAAACATATGCATTAGTTCAGTGAGAGGGAGGAAAAGTCAGGCCTCCTGTTATACAGCGAAGGCAAGATTAATGTGTTATGCTGAACAAAGAAATTGCCGAAATAAGGCGAGAGTGAAATGGTGGGCGGCGCCTTGGGAGAACATGGGTATAAATATCTTAGCACATCCGAGGCTCGGCATTCCCTTCCTCACTTCCTCGAACTCTGGTCTCTTCTTTATCTACTATTTCGACAAAGATTTTGTACGAAGTCATCATGATGATTGTATTGTTTTGTGGTAAGTTTTGGCGGTTGGATTGAATTTTGGATTCTCTGAGGATAAGAGAGTAAGGATGGAGATTTTGGTACAGCACGCTATATCGTTTTTTTTTCAGGTTTGGTGGCGATCGCATCTGCTCAGATACTGCCCTCCAATACCTATGGAGCCCCGAACGGAGGGTTCTCAAACGGCTTTGGTTTTGGAGCTTTCAACGGAGCCTCAAACAACGGTTTTGGTGCCCCAAGTAATGGTTACTCTGCACCAAGCAACACCTATGGCACGCCCAACGACGCCTACGGAGTAGACCCTGAGATTGCCGCTTTGGCCGAGAACATTCCCGGGGGCGGCGTCCCCGGCGAGGACTACCCCATCTTGGCTTCCGTGCCCGACACCGGCTTCTCGTGCGATGCCCAGGCGGTACAAGGTTATTACGCCGACACTGCAGCTGAAGCCGGCTGCCAGGTGTTCCATATCTGCCAGGACCGCGCCCTCAGGCGCCAACAGGACTCGTTCCTGTGCCCCAACGGTACCATCTTCAACCAGCAGTACCTGGTATGTGACTGGTGGTTCAACGTGGACTGTTCTCAAGCTGAGAGCTTCTACTCCGTCAACGAACTCATCGGAGTCGTTCCCGACGCCGGTTATGCTTATGCTGCCGCCACCAACGGCATCCTCAACGGAAACGGAAACGGATATGGAGCCAACGGCAACGGAGCCAACGGAAACGGATGGAACAGAGCTAATGGATACGCTTCCAATGGCAACGGAAGGAATGGCAACGGAGCCACCAATGGAAACGGATATCGCTCAAACGGCAACGGCAACGGCGCTAATGGCTTCAATGGCAATGGCAGGAACGGCTATGCCTCTAATAGCAATGGAGCGAACGGTGTCAATGGAAATGGTTTCAACGGCAATGGATATAGATCCAATGGCAACGGTAATGGAAGGAATGGCAATGGAAATGGTAACAGGTATAATGGCAATGGTCTGCGAACAAATGGAAATGGAAGGAACGGCAGCGGTAATGGAAACGGATATAATGGCAATGGCTTCAATGGCAACGGAGCTGCCGCTCCGTCTGCCTCCTATGGCGCTCCTTTCTAAACGGACCCTCGTGCACATCCTAAGCAGGCTTTCCTCAGTAAACGCATGTATATTTCAGCGCTTTATAGATGTTCTATATTTTTGCAAGAATACATATGAAATACCTATTCTTTTGTTTCCACATACCCATTTTTATTATACCTTAAGATTTCAAGATTTTGAAAGTATATGATTTTGCATGCAATAACATCTATTCAATAATGCAGTTATTCCTAGCTGCACGGAAAACCTTTCATAACTTTTTGGTGTTTCATAGATTCCCACATGCAGTAGGACATGCATTAAGAGATGCCTGGACGCTGCAAAAGTAAAGAAAAAAGAAAATTGGATATTGCAAAGAGCTGGTGGAGCATCAGAACCATAACTGCAGAGAACAAGGTCTGGAACCCAACTGTTAATCCTTGAACATCCCTTCATCTTTATCT